GCAAAAAAAAAAAAAAAAAAGACTCATGTCAGCTTTGCCCAAATACAACAGATTGGCAGCTGTGATATAATTGGTCATTTTAAATGTTTTTTTTTTTCTGTCCATAAAGTATGTCAAGAATAACATTACGTTGACCTTTCAGTTACGATTATCACATAATTTTAAACTAATAGTTGGTGAGAGTAAAGCTTAAGTGTCCTTGTATGTTTGTTTATTTGTAAACGTCAAGCTTTTTTGTTCATGTTGTCTTTGGCAAGAACTGAGTTTTCAGTTTGTTGCTGACACAGGAAGATACAGATGTCCTAATGAATAAAGAGGCTGCACTCATTGTGTGTCTGGCCAGATGGACCAACTGGCATTGATCCATGTTATTTATATGAAATGTTTTCCTACCGTGACCCACTTGGTACCCTCATTAAACGTTTTTCATCATGATTTATGTTTCTATCAACATTGCAGCACTCTAATGAACTGTTATCTCCATTCATTTGAGTTCTTGATGAGTTGGCCAGCTTTTCGTTATCCTTTTGTGCCTGTGGTTTGGGGGCGGCCATTGTAACTTTGGCAAGGTCCACTGTCTGTATGTGGGTACAGTACTTGATTTTCTTCCTGCTGGCCTCTTCCAGCAAAGCAAAGCTTCTCTGGTGTGAAACCACATCATGGTTTTGGGTACACGTCACGTGTTTCTCAGTTCACTGGGCTGTCCTGTCCTTCCCAGACCATCCCATTTGGCATGCCTGTCTCTACAGTGACTTCTTCCCAGTCTTTGCAGGATGGATCGACTTTCTGTCAGTTGTACATGGTCTTAAGGCTCCTAGATTTCTTTCTGCTGTCCAGGTGCAAAGAAAGAAATGCTGAAGGGCGAGAGCATGTTGAGAGGTAAAGTGCTTTGGCTCAACATACAGAATCTTTCTGTTTGTCATATGCAGATATTTTTGTTATGCAGATAAAGCGTATCCAGAAATCTTTATCTTGGGCTGTTTATTGTTGTTTCTTTGGTCTATATTTTAGCTCTCACAATATGAGTCTGTGTTCATGCATATTTGCACTCTCTGCCTTTAGTCTGGTTTATTTTTGTTAAGCATGTCAGAGAGGATTAAGAAATATATTAAAGAGCCTCATCTAGTTTTGCCCATTTTAATGAGGCATACAAGCATGTTTGTTTCTCATTTTTCTCTGTGATAAAGTGTGTATGTGTGTAAAGGAGGTTGGGGAATTGTTCCCTCTCTCCCATAAATATCCTCTGCCAAACTTGCTTTGCGTAATCTTATATTTCTATTTTTTCTTAGTAACACAGAGAAACTTGATTCAGGGCTCCAAGGTTGCTGCAAAAATACATTGCCATTAGTATTTGGAATTGTTTGAAACTGTTTTGAGCCATGAAAGTGAAGCAGAATAAAATGTTCATTTCATAGCGCTGATGACTGATTTCTGTGCAGCTAAATTTTTAAAACCTGTTTTTGTGCACAAACAAGGTGTTGATTACGCAGTGGTTGAGTGTTGGTGTTTGTTGCATTGAAATTGTTTTTGCTCATTTTGTTATTTCTGGTTATTTACTAGTTGGATAAAGCATGTACAAGCACTGTAGTTATTGGACTGAAAATAAAAATGTCCTGTGGACAGTGACGCATCACATTCTCATTATATTTGATTATTTAATATAAAGTTATGAGGAGTGGCATTTTGGACCAATGAGATTTCACAGTGGGTGGGGGTTATTTAGTGCAACTCCACAAAATGGAAAACAATTGACTTAAAAAAATTCCTGCAGCTTGTCGAAGTGTTAAGACAAAAATTAAAATGAATGTGGAAAACTGGACTCCACTGATGTGTCTTGGTTTTTACCCAGTTGAATAGTCATCATCAGTTTAATTACTATTTGATGGCATCTAGCCTACATAAACACAAACATGCATTTACTTATCTAAATGAGGACATTCTGTATACTTTTATATAGTTTAATGTGCTGTCTAAAAGTTTTTTGTAATATTAAATAATAGGAAATAATTATTACTCCTATTGAGGGTGTCCCCAAAAGAAAGTTCTGCCCACAAACAATTGAGTTGTAAAATGCTGGATAAATGCCCAGGCTGTTGAATAATTCAGTACAAAGTTAACTTTCCTCAAAGTTTACTGATGAATTGTTTACTTGACCTAATTGCAATAAGTGCATTATGAGCACAATAGGGAAATGAAAAACTATATATATAAATTTGTAAATGTGTGTGTGAAGGTTTGAGAAGGGGCACTAGGTGGAGCTCTGATCTCTTTCAGGAGCTCAACACAGGTGAGGATCGTGGCTTTTTTTCGTTTTTCTTTGTATTATTTGTGTGATGTGTCTATCTGTCAAACACTCATTTGCTGTTCCTCTTTACTCCTCACTCTTATAGAATGCAGTAATCTTAAACAGCCATGGTCTGTTTTATCTTACCCTGACACCTAGATTCTGTCCTGCACACTGTCATCATGTTATCTCCAGAGATCCCTCTCTTGGTTTAGTGGTTTTTTTTGTGTTGTTTTTTTGCAGCAATAAGTTCCAGTCTAGTGATTTAGATTTGTATGTCGGCCAGGACAATTAGTCAGCCAATATTTTGCCTCTGTGAAATTTATAATAAATGCTTTTTTGTTTTTTTAAACTTAGTCTCTACATCAAAGAATCCTGACAAAATGTATCCTGGTTTCAACAAAAACGATAAGAAATGTTTCTTGGGCACCAGTAAGCATATTAGAATGATTTCTGAAGGATCATGCGACTCTGAAGAGTGGAGTAATGGCTGCTGAGAATTCAACTTTGCCATCACAGAAATAAATTTCATTTTATAATATATCAAAACAGCTATTTTAATTTAGACTATATTTTTGATAAAATAAATGCTTAAATGGCAAGCATAAGAGGCACATTCAAAAATCTTTCCGATCACAAACACAGGAGACACATTTGATTTGTGAACTAGACATGTATTCTGAAATTTCGATCTACTTTTTAATTTAAATTTTCTAATTTTTATGCTGATAATACTATTTCATAGAATTTAATATGTGAATGTGATCTCTTGTGTGTTATTTTCATCTAGACTCCTTATAAAACCTTGTATCCCTGCAATGCTTCATTCCATTCTTATATTACTGTGATCTGCATTCATGCTTTAGCTCACTAACACATCACATCAGTGTGTCAAACTTCACTTTGTCCTTGTGCTTTCATGTCACAGGATCACATTTCCACTACTCTCCTCCCTGCCAATCTGTGAGGCCTGCTATGGCATGACTGTGGTGGGAAAGCACCGTGCTATATTTAAAAGCCTCTGATGTCGGTCTTCACATGAAGCTTTAGCTGCCGCACAGTACTCCTGTAGAGAGGGGGTGCGATTGACAGTAAAGGGGAGCTTGTGTGTGTGTGTATGTGTGTGCCAGTACCACATGGCCTTCTGCTGTCCTCCCTTCTTCCTGTTGCTTGTTCGCTCTCTGACCTTCTCCAGAGCCGATACATCTCTTTGGGAGAGCAGCGAATACATCTGTCCTGAGTATTACTCTGTATTTAACCCTTTCATGATTTGAAATGCAGTGAACATGGTCTACTTTCCCCAGTGAGGCACATCTGATACGAGCATTACTGCTACAGTAAGTTATTTGGACACATTTAGTCTTTTTTTTCACTTTTCATTCTCATATTCATTCTGTTATTTAAAGTTTAAGAGTTCCAGAAAGGTGAAATATGAAAAAGCATGTTATTTTAATGAATTGTGTGTCCTCTTTAGTCTGTGATTTAGTCTGTGTATGTTAAATGAACTCAGAATCCCAGTATATCTGGTTTCTAACTGTAAGTAAAGTGGGTCACTATCAGTGACTGAGAGTTCAGAGAGACCATGCAATGGCCATTAAGGCTGAGTGATCTTTGATATGAGACAGACATGGAAAGACAGTGACAGAAAGTGCTTATATAGACTGCTGAACTAAGTGGTATTGAATCCTAAAGGGCATTTGTTACCTCCCATTCCTGACGAATTCCTTAAACTCTCTCAATGGCTCATTCTTACTATTCTAGGCAAATCGTGTGTATTAATTGATCTGCTTGGAGTTGCTGTGAATGCTTTTTAACATCATAGTACGTGTTGTACTTTATTTTGCTTGTTCCACTGGGTGTAGCCTAAATGATCACATCTCATCTGATTATAGCATAATATAGAATAAGTTTGAAAACCAAATAATGTATGCAGATGTTTGCATACCTTCATCTGATCCTAGATTTTGTCCTTTATTAATGATATTGCTGTTCAGTTAGGCTGTTTGGTGGAAAGAATAAAAATAGGGTCTGAAGGAGTGGCTAAAGGAGTAGATTTATTTATAAATGTCCCTTTTTGTCATTTTTGTCAACTAATGACATTTTTACGGAGCCCCGAACGTGACATGCAAACAAAAATATATTTATTGTGGCCACAAATTAAGGATTTGTCTGCTAATGTTATTCATTTATTATTTAATTTATTTAAATATAATAATAATTCAATTTAATTTATTAAAAATTAATTAATTTTTTTGTTAAATCATAGCTAACAAATAAGAATTGATTTCCATGACTTATTCATTTATTCATTCCCCTGTTTTATTAAATTATGGCCATGTTGTACTAATCATTTCCCTCATTTTAATTTAATTAAAACTAGGGAGCAAATTAGTAAAAAAACAACCAAATGTCATGTGCAGAGCTCCATACATTTGAACAGAAAAGTATGCGTTATGAGGTATTTGATAAAAGCTGAATATTTTCTTGATCATTAGACATGTTGTGCCCTGAAAGCCTGTTTCATTAGAAGGTGGTTTCATTAAAAAAAAAAACACTGCTTGTGAAGTCATTGATCTTATGTTTCAGACACAGCCATAGTGTTTTTCTGAGCACTTTCTGTTGCTGAGTTGTTCATCCTTTAATGGTGTGTGCGGGCAGTAAGCCTAAATAACGAAGCCTCATGCTCAACAGCTGTCCAGTGACCCCACCTGCTCTCTCTCCATCACTTCGACCAAAATAGACCCCCACAAATGGCAGATACACATTACAAACAATATTTTCTGTATAACATGAGGTCAGAAGAGGAAATTAGGCTTTTATGCTTGCATCCATATGCAGTCAGATGTGATTAGGACGTGAAAACACATTCTGTACTGCTGGATAAGCTTTTAAGCTATGTAAATATTTTAACTCCATTTCCACACCGCAATATCATTTTCCATTGGATGAGTATTTGTGTCTGTAGTCCTTAACAGTATGACAGGCTTACGTGTTTGCTGTAAATTAACTAGTCCAATGCTAAATATACTCGCTCCAGCTTTAGCTAAGCTTAACTGGCTAACAATGACTTATTATCTGGCTTAAGGATGATTTTCTGTGCTTTCTGTCACTGCATAATAAAATTCACATGTGTCACGACAGAGTGTTTAGCTCAGAACATTTCTGAAATTTGTCAAGCCTTGTGATATCGAAGACTAAAAACATCTGAACACATTTTTGTATTCAAAAGAGATTGAACACATTGAATGGAACAGAACACGGGACTCTTGTGATGCTTTTTAGAAAGTTGAACTGTTTTTAAGCTGACACAGCTTCTTAAATACTACAAAGACATACTTCTGATGCATGTACACTACAGGTTCAAAAGTTTGGGGTTGGTAAGTGGTTTTTTGTTTTTTTTTTGGTAAGTGTTTCATAGTCTTTTAGGGATGTAACGATTCACTCAACTTTTGATTCGATTCACGATTTTGATTTCACGATTCGATTCGATTCACAATTTTTTTTTTTACAAAATGAGATTTAAGACAAATTATAAATTAAATGTGTCCTTTTATTATTGCTTGGACAAATTGGAATACCATCTAAACTGTTCTAAAGACTGTAAGTTCCCCTCAGACATGGATTCTTATAAACTCCTACACCTAAATGAATCGCGATTGGTTTAGCATCTCAACCGATTTGAATAGTTACATATTTTAATCGATTTCCAACCGGCTCGCGGTTAATCGTTACATCCCTGTAGTCTTTTATTCTCACCAAAGCTGCTTTTTATTTGGTCAAAAATAAAGTAAAAACAGTAATATTGTGAAATGATATTACAATTTAGAGGAACTGTTTTTTTTATTATTTTTTGCATTTCTTATTATTAGCAATGTTGAAAACAGTTGTGCGGTTACATTTTTGTGAAAATCATAATACTTTTTTTCAGGATTCCTTGATAAATAAAGTTCAAATGAATGGCATTTATTTGAAATAGAATTGTTTTGTAACAATTCACGTCTTTAGTGTCACTTTTGGTCAATTTAATACATCTTTGCTGAATAAAAGTATTAAAATAAATCTTACTGACTTCAAACTTTTGAACAGTAGTGCCCTTATAGCAACAATCAAAAAATACTTTTTGTGTGAGTACTTGTGTTCCGTTTATGTACATACTGGCACTTGTTTGCTTTCTGTAAGCTGGGTTTGAAAGCAAACAAGTGTCTAAATCTGTTGGCTTTCTTTAGAAGGTGACTTCTCATTGGTGCCCTAGATACTCAGTGAGGGTTATGCACTGGGCACACACACAACCTCCTATTGCTTTCAACATAAAGGTAGTCACATCATTGACACAGCCCAGCCATTCAGACAAGGGAAAGAAAAAAGCAGTGACCCAGAGTCAGCCACTCAGAAAACACATTCCCTTTTTAGGACAGAGGTAGGGGTGTGTGTGAGTGGTAATTTTAGGTAAATGTGGTGTGGAATGAGTGGACAGTATTCTGACCTTGTCCTGCTGCATACTACTGACTAGTGTTGTCACGGTACCAAAATTTCAGTATTCAGTACCAATACCAGTGAAAATCCACGGTTCTCGGTACCAATTTCGGTACCAAAGCAAAACACAAAAACATGCTAATTGAACAAATTTTTTATTAATAACGTTAAACAATTGATGGAGCCCGTTCTCTCGAAGACAGACACAACAAACATTAATTTCCTTTAGAGAGAAATAACAATGGCCAATGGTCCCTGATCCTATTTGAAAGCAGAGACTGGACCGCTCACTCATTTGAAAGATTGTCAGCATTTAAAGTATTTAAAGTAGGGCTGCACGATATATCGAAATATCGCAAATGTAAATATCGCAATATGCATATCGCAACGGCGTGCGATATCATTATCATTTTAATAATAGGCTACTTAAATCAAAATGTTGCAAAAGGTCAAAGTTTTAGTTCGACGCATATAGCAGAGAATTGCTTGACGTTAAAAAGAGTTAAGTGCAATAAGTTGCAGAAAACAACTCTTTGCCGTCTCGTCTTGCTGTCTGACTCACACCTGAAGCGCGCCCAAAAGCCGCATCTCGCACAGCGTCTCTTCCGTTCTGCCGCACACGTGCAAAGCGCGCGCACACACAGAGAGACGTGTTTTAGACCGAGTTGATTCGTCTTTCGCATCTCCTCATGTTTGAACAGACACATACACAGTTGGTTATGTTTTAAATGAATGTAAAGAGCTGAGAAAGAAATCGGATGTGTATCATTATACTGGATCCGTGCAGTCGGATTTAAAGGGACAGCAGCCTATAAATACGTGCTGCTGAATATGTCACCAATGTTAATCAAACAACAAAACCGCTATAACAAAGATTAATCTATATTTAATTCATACGGTGAACACTATGCAGTGTTATTTTACAATTATTAAATTTCTGTATCAGAATACTACTGTTTATTTTATCTATGCTTGTAAATTGTGTATTTCTTTTTTTTTCTTTCTTTTTTTTTACTGACTGTTCACTTGCCTTTAATCATGTTTGAACTTTCTCAGACTATAGTTTTTGCTGTGGTATATGAAGAAGTACTTAAAGTGTATGGAAAGCAAAGTCACAATGATGTAAAATTAGTGTCATTCATTTTATTGTCATTCACATTGATGTTAAAATTACATTTTCTGATTTGTGACATTACTTTTTATGTAATGCTAAAACACTGCTGGTCACTTTCAGAAGTTGTAGTGATTCTTTCTTTTCCAAGAAAGAATGTGAAACAAATTGGTTATATAATTTTCATTTTTAAATATTTTAAAATATAATTCAAATAGATTTTTCACACTTTAAGCAATATCGTATCGCATATCAAAT